ATTCATTATTTCACACAGAAGCCATCTGTCGAGAATGACTGTGATTAAATGTCGGGAACGGCAATTAGCGTATCCAGATGTTATCCAAATGCCGAGAATAACTGCAGCTAAATGTTGGGAACGACAGTTCACCTAACCATATTTCACCCGTCTACCGAGATTTACTGAGCTGAACTGTCGGGAACCGTCGGTCATGATTATGTGGAAATCATACATCAACACCAGGTCATTTAAAATACACCAGGGAATGTACATGAAATGAAATTCTCCACATCACAGCAACAAACACTTCTAACATTCACCTAGTACACAAATTTCTTCAAGGTATTTATCAACAGTGGGTTCATTTCTAGCAGAAACGAGAGTGACAATATGTAATCAAAAATCAGAAAAGCGGAAAACCAAAGCAAGGAATCATCCCTTAGCAACCATGTTTTTCTCAGCCTTGTTTTCCAACGCAAATTTAGCCAACCCGTCAAAGAGTCTTGGCAACTCTTCATCTTCCTCATTCGGCATACGATGAAGGCATAACAGAGGAAGAAAAACCCATGAAGGGAAAAATATGAATTTTTAGTAAAGTTTTACAAAAAAAATGCCATAAACCTAAAAAAAGAACATAAATTTTACCTTGGATGTGCTCTCCTCTGTCAATTTCTTCTTCAAGATTTTAGTGAGAGAATGTTCATATAAGTTGCATAAAATGAAATAAGAATGGTTTTGCTTTTAAGCCATAACTTTTGAGACACAAGTAGGCACTAAAATGGTATTTGAAAATCAAGAAATAAGCTTAAAATGACTGATCGGAGGTTTTATTTGGTCGGTCGGCGAGATGTTGGCCAGAGAAGTAGAGTAAAGAGTGCTTGTAGATTATTTGGGGAAATGGTTTGAAGCCTGACGTAGAGTAAAAAGTCTTTTTCATTGACTTATGTTTTTCTTCCATTCCCATTTTCATTTCTTTTGCCTTTTTTAAAATGACAGCTCCTTCCCTGACATTTACACAGTTTTTGTACAATTTTTCATCTAGTCAAATCTCATTTAATGAAGGACATGTCAGGTATTTAAATTATCTAGAGGGACAAAAATGTCCGAAAATGACAATTTTGCAAAGACTTCAAAAAAGTGACATTTTTGTAAATGCAAAGTCAAAAAATGACATCTAGTACAATTTCCTCATTATATAATAAATAGCCTATTGAAGATGTTCTTCATCCTTGGACGATTGTCTCAAAAGAACACTTTCAGTTGACACGGAATGGTAAATTTACTCTCGAATTAAATCGGCAAAGGAACCTAAATAGAAAGAGAATGAAAAATAGGGAAAAAAGAGGGGGTCCAAGCCTGCTGCCTGCATCTTCATAAGACTATAACACAATATTAAAAGAGAAAATTACCTATAACCCTACAATTAAAGATTAGCTTTCATAAATAAGGGGGTTAAGTTTAAAATTCAGATTTCAGGTGATAAATAAGATAATTAATTGTAATTAATAAAAAAATAATTAAACTTAATCTACATATTCATCCCCCCAACCACACCACACCACACTCTACCCCTACCGTATGCCTACCCTGATTCATCCCAAACCCAATTCATTTTCAAACCCCAAAATTTCTCGACATCTTCCTTCTTCTCTCTCTCTCTTTGCCACCGACAATACCCACCCACCCTCACTCTGTACCCTCTCTTCTAACGTCGCTATATATGGCGATCCTGCTCTGCCACGTGCAACGGCACAGCAAGGCACCGCTGCTGCTGCCAGCAGTGGCGCCTGGCTTTTCCGCCGTCGCTACTGCGGTGGGGCTTGCAAAAATACAAGCGAACCAGGTGGTGGTGCTTGCAACAGCGGTAATCAACTCTCAGAGGCCGTCGAACAATCTGGTGGTGATTTCAGGCTGCGTTGTTCAATCGGTGCCTCGATTTTAGAATTTGAATCTC